GGAGGAGGAGGAGGGGGGGGGTACTCGCGTGGCAGACGGGTGCAGGGAGCCACTACTTACAGTGGAGACCCATGCCAAGAAACACCCTGCTTGCCTCCAGGGTGCCCTGGGTTTCTTGGGTTTCGATGGTTTTGCTGTGCAGAGGCGCGACGCTCCCGCAGCGAAAGCCATGGGACCCCCTGGGGGGTCTCAAACTTTTTGGCTTCTTGTGGAAGGTCTCTGGTGGACTGGCCTCCGCTGTGCCAGGCCAACCCTGCCCGACCCGAGGGCCTCAGGCTACCCCTTGGCATCGCTCGGACGTGTGCATTTTTCCTTCGGCGAGGGCCATCGAGGAGCATCCTTGATCCTCTGGCGAGAAAAACCACGCGCGAAACCGACAAAAAAACACAGGGAATGGACGTCCGAGCGATGGCGAGTCGCGTTCCCTCCACGTTCTGGGGCGCCCCCCCGCCGGACGTCGACGCTGCGGCGACGTCGGGCCGGGGCGGGGCGGCTCGTCGGCGGGCAAGTCGGGGAGGGAGCCGGCGCGCGCCGGTGCCCAGGAGCAGGCGGCGCGCAGCGCGGCGTCCAAGGCCCCGCCGCCCGACGCAGCGCGCCCGCGCGTGTGCGGCCCCCTGGGCGTCGCGAAGAGGGCGGGGGGGGGGCGCGATGCACAGGGGGGCAGCGAGGGCTGCAGAGCAGGGGCCCGTCCGAGCCCCTAGAAGGGGGCCGTTTTCGTAGAGCCCGAGAGGGGTGCGGCCTTCTGCCCCCCACTTGCGCGTGAGTCGTTGAAGGCAGGAGGTTTTGGACTCCCCGATCCCAAGCTCTTTCCTGTCTCGAGCGTCGATATGCTTCTGCGGCGGTTTGCGATTCTCTGGGGGGCCTGAACCCCGTCTACTTGATCTGCCTTCCTGCTTCATGTTTTTTTGTTCCACCAACTTCTTCCGACCGGCGGGTATCGCCCTCGCCATTGGTCGGGGGGCGGCAACGAGGGGGGGATGACTGGTGGGGGGGGATATCGTGGCGCGGGTCATGCTATCTCCCCTTTTTCTTATTTCGGTACGTCCCCGGGCCCCCCCCCCCCTGGGCCGCGAACGTGCCGCCGGCCATGATTTGCGCCCCCCCCCTTGGACGCCCCCCTCTTGGCCGCCCCCGAATGGAGCGACGCCCGAGCCCTTGCCTGGAGGGTTCCTCCGAAGGGCTTAGGCGACCCGTCCTCCTCCTCCTCCTCCTCCTCCTCCTCCTCCTCCTCCTCCTCCTCCTCCTCATCCTCGCGTCGCCTGCGGCCCCGGGGGGAGCCGTGCTCCCCCTGCCCCCGACGGCGGTCTGTGACCCAGCGCGAGCCGTCGAGCATCGAGCGACCTCGGCTCCCAAGGCGTTCCTGGGTGCCGGTGGGCCCCTCCTCCTCCTCCTCTTCCTCCTCCTCCTCCTCCTCCTCCTCCTCCTCCTCCTCCTCCTCCCTCCTCCTCCTCCTCCTACCTCCTCCTCCTCCTCCTCCTCCTCCTCCTCCTCCCTCCTCCTCCTCCTCCTCCTCATCATCATCCTCCTTCTCCTCCTCCTCCGCCTCCTCCGCCTCCTCCGGGAGCCTTGCAGCGGACATCGAAGGATCAAAAAGCAGCGTCGCTGTGAACGCCTGGCTGCCACAGGCCAGTTGTTCTCCCTGTGGTGTTAACTTTTCTTCGGTGCAGGCCCGGGGGTCGGCCAGGGCGCCCGAGTTGTTGGGGGATCCTGCAGGGGGGCAGGGCCGCAGCGGCCCGTGCCTGGGTGCAGGATTCCCGCAGGATATATATATATATATATATATATAATATATATTATATATATATATATCCGTAAGGGCTTCGCCCCCTGCCGCCGGCCCCCTCTCTCGGAGAATGGGCCATGGAAGAGCTAAGTCATGAGGCTTTGGCGCTGTCGTGCAGCAGTATCGGAACTTCATGCGAGGCCGATTCGCAATCGGCAAAACCAACTGATCACAAGAGGGGTTACCACACAGGGCGATTGGTAAGACGTGTATGGTTTACGAGTTTGGTTACCACACCTTGGGATTAAAGGGCCGAGGGAGTACTCGCAGTTTGGGTTACCACGCCTTGCGATGGATGTGCGTGAGGGGTGGCACCGAATTTCCGAAATGTGGCAAATGCCCTGTGTTTTTGGACCCTGACCCCGCGGATCTGCGTGAGGGGTGGCACCGAATTTCAGAAATGTGGCAAATCCCATGTGTTTTTGGACCCTGACCCCGCGGATCTGCGTGAGGGGTGGCACCGAATTTCAGAAATGTAGCAAATCCCTTGTGTTTTTGGACCCTGACCCCGCGGATCTGCGTGAGGGGTGGCACCGAATTTCAGAAATGTGGCAAATCCCATGTGTTTTTGGACCCTGACCCCGCGGATCTGCGTGAGGGGTGGCACCGAATTTCAGAAATGTGGCAAATCCCTGTGTTTTTGGACCCTGACCCCGCGGATCTGCGTGAGGGGTGGCACCGAATTTCAGAAATGTGGCAAATCCCATGTGTTTTTGGACCCTGACCCCGCGGATCTGCGTGAGGGGTGGCACCGAATTTCAGAAATGTGGCAAATCCCATGTGTTTTTGGACCCTGACCCCGCGGATCTGCGTGAGGGGTGGCACCGAATTTCAGAAATGTGGCAAATCCTATGTGTTTTTGGACCCTGACCCCGCGGATCTGCGTGAGGGGTGGCACCGAATTTCAGAAATGTGGCAAATCCCATGTGTTTTTGGACCCTGACCCCGCGGATCTGCGTGAGGGGTGTCGATTTCGAACCCCCTCAGCAATTCAGACAACGCGCCCAGGGGGTGCTAAAAAGTTCTGTTTGGGCCTCCCCCCCCCCTCGCGCGGTCAATCAATTAGTTACAGTAACCAGCAAGAAGCAGAACTGTAACACTGGAAACTACAAGCTACAACTGGTACAGGAAACTGCGAATCACGGGCCTACAGCCTGGTGGCCCCGCAAGGGGGCCGGCGGATATATATATATATATATATATATATATATATACATTTACACACATACATACATAGATATACATACACACATATATGCATACATATATTTACGCACATGTGTATATATATACATATATATATATGCATACATACATACATCTTGCGGGGTCTTGCGCACCGGCCGGGGCTCATAGGCGCAGGATCTTGCAGGATCCTTCGCGCTGGCCGCTGGCCCACGCTTGGGCGCAGGGTCTCGCTGTGGGACGTCTGCAGCGGGAGCCCGCGCCGAGCTTCAGCTCGGGGCTCGCCGTCTTTACGATGGCCCCGCCGGGCCAACCCGAGCCCCCCGCGCCCGAGTCCCCGCGTCCCCCCGACTCAGGAGTGACAGAAGGACGTACACGTACATGGAACCCACGCTGGTTTCGAGAGGACGCACTGCGCAAATGTTCGTATCACGCGGCCAGGCTCGCGGCTCCAGGGGCCGTGCTCATGTGCACAGTTGGGCGCGTATACGTCTTCTGTGGGCTCCCTACCGACAGTATCTGGCAGGACTCTGCAGGGCCTGCCCGCGGCCCGGGCCCGGACGGGCCCGGGCCAGCAGATCCCCGACGTTTTCGGAGGTGGATAGACCTCCTGCCCTGACACGTCGACGATGCATCGACGATGTATGGGTGATGCATCGGCGAAGCGGCGCGAACTCGGACCCCATCTATCGGGGGTGGACAGAACCCCCAACAGTGACACGTCGATTGGTGAATTGTCCGTTTTCGGTTCTTCAGAGGGCGCCGCGGCCCTGATTTTCCAGGCCTTCGCCCGCCGGGTTTGGGCCTCAGGTCGTTTTCACGAAAACACGTTTTTCAGGAGGGGAAAAAACACACAGACACAATTAATCGGCGATTCCCAGAACATATGGGAAAATATGGGAAGTGGGGGGGAAGACAAGAACCCAGAACATATGGGAAAATATGGGGGATATTTTTGTTTGTGTGTATTTACTTGTGTGTCCCAATCCCCCTTCAGTTTTACTAGAGGGGGGTCTGTCCCTCCCCGACGCCTCCGCGCGTGGGCCCTGCGCGGCGGGCCGCGCGCGCCGGCCGCGCGCGCCGCTCGGGCCTCGGGGCCCCCCGGGCGCGCACGCGGCGAGCCCGGCCCCGTCGGGCCCCACTGTCCGACGCATTGCAGGCAGGTGTTGTCGGGCGTATGCACCGATCCTGGGCTCAGGAGGGGCCTGGCCAGGATCGGTGCATGTGCATAGTTCTCTTTCCTCTGTGTCGGGCGACAAATGAAAAGAAGTACCCCACTCTCGGGGGCGGAAGAGAGGGGGTGATGACTAGGGGGGGGGTGGATCTCATGGCGGGGGCCATGATGTTTCCCCAGATCTCATGGCGCCTCTTCTTGTTTCATCACTTCCCTGGCCCCCCCGCTGGGCCGCGCACGTGCCGCCGGTCATGATTTGCACCCCCCCCTCTCTTGGACACCCCCCTCTTGGCCGCTCCCGACATTCATGATCCAGAATATTCAACAAATAGTCCAGAGAATTCTCCCCGGGTTTTTTTGGACCAGTGCTTTTGGATTTACATCTAGGCCTCCTAGATGGGGTCCGAGTAGATGGGGTCGGAGGATCGCGCCGCATCGCCGATGCATCGCCGGCGCGGCTCGATGCGGAGCCCGATTTTCTCCACGCCGACGTCGCCGATACATCGCCGACGTCGACGCCTCATCGCCGATGCATCGCCGATGTATCGCCGATGTATCGGCGATGCGGCGATGTATCGCCGACCCCATCTACTCCGACCCCATCCAGGAGGCCTCTAATTACAGGCAGGTTTTGGACGACACATTAAAAAAATAACCCATTCATGATCCAGAATATTCAACAAATAGTCCAGAGAATTCTCCCCGGATTTTTTTGTTGACCAGTTCTTTTGAACTTTCCTCCTGTCGAGGGACACGCCCGACTTCATGCAAGACCTTGGGGATGCGTTTCGGCGGTTCTTCCGTGGTTTTCGGGGCCCTCGCGGGGCCTTCGAGTGGTGGAAGCTACTCGGGATGAGAAGCTGCCCCCCAGGGAGGGGTGTCGGGGCTTCCGGCGATCGCGCACGGAACAATGGTCAACACATCGAATCTGGGGAAGGCCGCGACGGCCCTCCCGAGGCGCTCTGCCCCGAGGCGGGAATTTACACGTGACCACCGCCTGGAGGGTCAGTTTTCGAAGCCTTGGCATGCGGTGGGTACGGACAGATTCGGGCCCCGAGGGGCCGAGATATGTATCCATCTCCACCGCCCGCTGGGGCACCAGGACGTCGGTTCCCAGGCAGTGGATATGGACAAATCCCCGCCTCGCATTTCCCTGTTGCTGCTTGGGCCTCCTGGAGGCCCCCCCGGGAGGAGTTCCGGAGCAGATGTTGAGCGGTTGTGGGCAGGGCGGGGGAGCCGCCGTTCCGTCGGCACGGTGGCAGTAAAGGAGGCAACGGCGATGTGGGTGTAGGTCGGAGGTTGATGGACCTCCTACCCTGACACGTCGATTAAGGAATTGGCCGTTTCCGGTTCGCGAGAGGGTCGCGGCCGTCATTTCTATGGGTCCAAGTCCGCGAGGTTCGATCCAGGCCGTTTGCACTAAGGGGAGG